GGGACAGCGGGGACATCATGGGGACATTGTGGGGACACTGGGGACACGTGGTGTCCTTGTACACAGCACTTGGGGACAGGCCAGCGACATTGGTGACAGCACCGGGGACACACCAGGTGCCACCAACCCCCCTCAGGTGTCACCAAACCTCCCCAGATGTCACCAAACCTCCCCAGATGCCACCACCTGCTGTCCAGGTGCCACCTCTCAGTGTCACCTCCCCTTTGGAGCCCTGCCCCAACCCTGGGACAGCTTGGGGACAGTGGGAGGTGACACCAGGACAGGCTGGGGACACCTGGAGGTGACTCAAAGCCACCCAGGTGCCACCAAACCCCTCCAGATGTCACCAAACCCCCTCAGGTGCCACCTCTTGGTGTCACCAACCACCACAGGACACAGGAGGTGACACCAGCACAGGTTGGGGACACCTGGAGGTGACACTGGGAGGGGTTGGGGACACCTGGAGGGGACTCAAAGCCACCCAGGTGCCACCAAACCCCTCCAGATGTCACCAAACCCCCTCAGGTGCCACCTCTTGGTGTCACCAACCACCACAGGACACAGGAGGTGACACCAGGACAGGCTGGGGACACCTGGGGGTGACTCAAAGCCACTCAGGTGCCACCATGCCCTGTCCAGGTGTCACCAACTCCCCCCAGGTGCCACCTCTTGGTGTCACCAACCACAACAGGACACCTGGAGGTGACACTGGGAGGGGCTGGGGACACCTGGGGGTGACTCAAAGCCACCCAGGTGCCACCAAACCCTCTCCAGATGTCACCAAACCCCTCCAGATGCCACCAAACCCCTCCCAGGTGTCACCTCTTGATGTCACCAACCACCACAGGACACAGGAGGTGACACCAGGACAGGCTGAGGACACCTGGAGGTGACACCAGCACAGGTTGGGGACAAACTGGGGACACTGGGGACACGGGGACACGTCAGACACTGGGACATTGGGGACAGTGGGGATATTGGGGACACTGCCGTTCTGGGGACACCAGGGGACACGTCAGCCATTGGGGACATCGGGGACATTGGGGACACGTCAGACATGGGGACACTGGGGACATTGGGGACACTGGGGACACCAGGGGACAGCGGGGACACATCACACACAAGGACACTGGGGACAATGCCGTTCTGGGGACAGTAGGGGACACCAGGGGACATGTCAGACAGGGGGACATTGGGGACAATGCCATTCTGGGGACAGCAGGGGACACCAGGGGACATGTCAGACAGGGGGACATTGGGGACATCGGGGACACGTCACACATGGGGACACTGGGGACAATGCCGTTCTGGGGACACCAGGGGACATTGGGGACATGTCAGCCATGGAGGACATTGGGGACATTGGGGACAGAGGGGACATCGGGGACATGTCAGCCATGGGGGACATTGGGGATCTGGGGACACGGGTGACCTGCTGGCAGATGCTGGCGTAGCGTGCCAGGACGTTGGCGTTCTCCATGGCCCCTCCATGGACTTCAGTCACCTCCTGGTGTCCCCAGACCCCCTCTAGATGCCACCAAACCCAGTCTAGATGCCACTAAACCCCTCTAAGTGCCACCAAACCTGGTCTAGGTGCCACCAAACCCCCTCTAAGTGCCACCAAACCCTCTCCAGATGCCACAAACTGTACTCAGATGCCACCAAACCTGGTCTAGGTGCCAGCAAACCCTCTCTAGATGCCACCAAACCCCCTCTAAGTGCCACCAAACCCTCTCCAGATGCCACCAAACCCCCTCTAGATCCGTTAAACCCTCTCCTGATGTCACCAAACCCGGTCTAGGTTCCATCAAACCCCCTCCAAGTGCCACCAAACCATCCCTAAGTGCCACCAAACCCCCTCTAAGTGCCACTAAACCCAGTATAGATGCCACCAAACCCTCTCTAGGTGCCACCAAACCGCTCCAGGTGCCACCAAACCCAGTCCAGATGTCACCAAACCCCCTCTAAGTGCCACCAAACCCTCTCTAGATGTCACCAAACCTGGTCTAGGAGCCACCAAACCCTCTCTAAATGCCACCCAACCATCCCTAAGTGCCACCATATAGATGCCACCAACCCCTCTCTAGGTGCCACCAAACCGCTCCAGGTGCCACCAAACCCAGTCCAGATGTCACCAAACCCCCTCTAAGTGCCACCAAACCCTCTCTAGATGTCACCAAACCTGGTCTAGGAGCCACCAAACCCTCTCTAAATGCCACCCAACCATCCCTAAGTGCCACCAAACCCTCTCCAGATGCCACCAAACCCTCTCTAGATGCCACCAAACCTGGTCTAGGTGCCACCAAACCCCCTCTAAGTGCCACCAAACCTGGTCTAGATGCCACCAAACCATCCCTAGGTGCCACCAAACCCTCTCTAGATGTCACCAAACCTGGTCTAGGTGCCACCAAACCCCCTCTAAGTGCCACCAAACCTGGTCTAGATGCCACCAAACCCTCTCTAAGTGCCACCCAACCATCCCTAAGTGCCACCAAACCTGGTCTAGATGCCACCAAACCATCCCTAGGTGCCACCAAACCCTCTCCAGGTGCCACCAAACCCTCTCTAAGTGCCACCCAACCATCCCTAAGTGCCACCAAACCTGGTCTAGATGCCACCAAACCCTCTCTAAGTGCCACCCAACCATCCCTAAGTGCCACCAAACCTGGTCTAGATGCCACCAAACCATCCCTAGGTGCCACCAAACCCTCTCCAGGTGCCACCAAACCCTCTCTAAGTGCCACCCAACCATCCCTAAGTGCCACCAAACCTGGTCTAGATGCCACCAAACCCTCTCTAAGTGCCACCCAACCATCCCTAAGTGCCACCAAACCTGGTCTAGATGCCACCAAACCATCCCTAGGTGCCACCAAACCCTCTCCAGGTGCCACCAAACCCTCTCTAAGTGCCACCCAACCATCCCTAAGTGCCACCAAACCTGGTCTAGATGCCACCAAACCCTCTCTAAGTGCCACCCAACCATCCCTAAGTGCCACCAAACCTGGTCTAGATGCCACCAAACCAGAGGCGCGTGGGCGTGTGCGCCGTGATCTTCAGCACGCAGCGCCACTTGGCAAAGTCAGCGCCGTCCTTCTTGTACTGGGCACAGCGCTCCATGAGGCCATCCAGCCCTGGGGACATTGGGGACATTGGGGACATCGGGGTCATCGGGGATGTTTGGGGCAATGGGGACATTGGGGACGTTGGGGACACGGCGCCACTTGGCAAAGTCAGCGCCGTCCTTCTTGTACTGGGCACAGCGCTCCATGAGGCCATCGAGCCCTGGGGACATCGGGGACATTGGGGACATCGGGGGCGTTGGGGACATCAGGGACATTTGGGGCAATGGGGACATTGGGGGCAATGGGGACTTTGAGGACATTGTGGCCATGGAAGACCTGGGGAGTGTTGGGGACATTGGGGACATTGGGGGGACAGGGGACACAGGACACTGAGGGGGCTCCAAGAGCCTGTCCTGCCCTGGGGACATTGGGGACACTGGGGACACTGGGGGACATTGGGGACATTGGAGACGTTGGGGACATTGGAGACATTGGGGACACTGGGGACACTGGGGCATTGGAGACATTGGGGACATTGAGGACATTGTGGTCATGGAGGACCTGGGGAGTGTTGAGGACATCAGGGGCATTGGGGACAATGGGGACATTGGGGACAATGGGGACATTGGGGACATCAGGGGCGCTGGGGACAATGGGGTTGTTGGGGACATTGGGGACGTTGTGGCCATGGAGGACCTGGGGAGTGTTGAGGACATCAGGGGCACTGGGGACACTGGGGGACATTGGGGACATTGGTGGGACAGGGGACACAGGGCACTGAGGGGGCTCCATGAGCCTGTCCTGCCCTGGGGACACTGGGGACACTGGGGACACTGGGGACATTGGGGACACTGGGGACATTGGAGACGTTGGGGACATTGGGGATGTTGGGGACACCGGGGACATTGGTGGGACAGGGGACACAGGCACTGAGGGGGCTCCAAGAGCCTGTCCTGCCCTGGGGACACTGGAGACGTCAGGGACATTTGGGGCATTGGGGACATCGGGGGCGTTGGGGACATTGAGGACATTGTGGCCATGGAAGACCTGGAGAGTGTTGGGGACATTGGGGACACTGGGGACATCAGGGACATCAGGGACATTGAGCACTGCAGGGGCTCCATGAGGCCATCGAGTCCTGGGGACACTGGGGACATCAGGGACACGGGACCCTGTGGTGGCACAGGCTGGGAGGATGGCACAGGAGCAGGGACACTGTGGTGGCATCGGGGACACGGTGGTGACACAGGGATGGGGACACTGGGGTGGCATCGGGGACATGGTGGTGACACAGGGATGGGGACACCATGGTGGCCTTGGGGACATGGCGGTGACAAGAACATGGCAGTGGCCTTGGGGACACAGTGGTGGCATTGGGGACACGGTGATGGCATTGGGGACACTGTGGTGGCCTTAGGGATGTGGCTGTGACAGGGATGGGGACACAGTGGTGGCATTGAGGACACAGAGGTTACAGGGACAAAGACACCACAATGGCCTTGGGGACACGCTGGTGACCAGGACAGGGACACGCTGGTGGCCTTGGGGACACGCCGGTGACCAGGACAGGGACACGCTGGTGGCCTTGGGGACACGCCGGTGACAGGGACAGGGACACGCTGGTGGCCTTGGGGACAGAGCTGTGACAAGGACAGGGACAGCGGTGGCCTTGGGGACACGCCGGTGACAGGGACAGGGACACGCTGGTGGCCTTGGGGACAGGGTGGTGACAAGGACAGGGACACGCTGGTGGCCTTGGGGACAGGGTGGTGACAAGGACAGGGACACGCTGGTGGCCTTGGGGACAGAGCTGTGACAAGGACAGGGACAGGGGTGGCCTTGGGGACACGCCGGTGACAGGGACAGGGACACGCTGGTGGCCTTGGGGACAGAGCTGTGACAGGGACACGTTGGTGGCCTTGGGGACAGGGCTGTCACTCACCCTGGGTCGTGGTCTCGCCGTTGGTGCCAGCCAGGGGCACCACGCCCTTGTCCACCTGGGGGACAGGGACACGGTCATGGGGACAGCAGGGGACACCAGCGGGACACCGAGCGTCCCCCGATGTCCCCAAGGTCCCCTGAAGTCCCCAAAGCGTCCCTTGATGTCCCCAAGGTCCCCTGATGTCCCCAAGGTGTCCCCACCTCGCTCCCTAAAGCCGCTCAGATGTGCTGGCCTGGTCCCACCGTGGCCATGGCTGAGCCAACCCAGGTCCCCTCAGTGTCCCCAAGGTGTCCCCAAGGTGTCCCCAAGGTCCTGAAGCTCCCGGATGTCCCCACATCACTCTGAAGCCACCTCAGATCTCTCTGGCCTGGTGCCACCTCCCCCTGCTTGACCCAACCCAAGAACCAGCTCCTGCCTGATGTCCCCAAGGTGTCCCCAATGTCCCCGAGGTCCCCAAGACCCCAAAGTGTCCCCAAATGTCCCCACCTCACCCTCTGATCCCACCTCAGACGTGTTCCCACCTCTCCATGGCCGACCCAACTCAAGGAACACCCAATGTCCCTCGTGTCCCCAAGACCCCCCAATGTCCCCAAGGTGTCCCCAATACCTCCAAGGTGTCCCCAATGTCCCCAAGACCCCCCAATGTCCCCAAGATGTCTCCGATGTCCCCAAGATCCCAAAGTGTCCCCAAACCATCCCCACCTCCCCCTCTGAACCCACCTCAGATGTGTTCCCTCCTCTCCCAACTCATTCTCTGAACCCACCTCAGATGTGGCCCCACCTCTCCGTGGTTGACCCAACTCAAGGAACACCCAACGTCCCTCACGTCCCCAAGTCCCCTCAATGTCCCTGAGGTCCCCGAGTTGTCCCCAAAGTGTCCCCAATGCCCTAAAGACCCCAAATGTCCCCAAATGTCCCCACCTCACCCTCTGAACCCACCTCAGATGTGTTCCCACCTCTCCCAACTCAAGGAACACCCAACACCCCTCCATCTCTCCAATGTCCCCTCAACGTCCCTGCGGTGTCCCTGATGTCCCTGAGGTGTCCCCAATGTCCCAAGGTGTCCCCGATGTTCCCAAGACCCCAAAGTGTCCCCACCTCACCCTCTGAACCCACCTCAGATGTGTTCCCACCTCTCCATGGCTGACCCAACTCAAGGAACACCCAACGTCCCTCGTACCCCCAAGTCCCCTCAACGTCCCCAATGTGTCCCCAAAGTGTCCCCAATGTCCTAATGACCCCAGATATCCCCAAACCATCCCCACCTCACCCTCTGAACCCACCTCAGATGTGGCTCCCCTGCTCCCACCTCTCCATGGTTGACCCAACTCAAGGAACACCCAACACCCCTCAGTGTCCCCAACATCCCTCAATGTCCCCGAGGTGTCCCCGATGTCCCCGAGGTGTCCCCGGTGTCCCCAAGGTGTCCCTGATGTCCCCAAGACCACAAACATCCCCAAAGTGTCCCCCCCTCACCCTCTGAACCACCTCAGATGTGTTCCCACCTCTCCATGGTTGACCCAACTCAAGGAACACCCAACACCCCTCCATGTCTCCAATGTCCCCTCAACGTCCCTGCGGTGTCCCTGATGTCCCTGAGGTGTCCCCGATGTCCCGACGTGTCCCCAAGACTCCAAAGTGTCCCCACCTCACCCTCTGAACCCACCTCAGATGTGTTCCCACCTCTCCCAACTCAAGGAACACCCAACACCCCTCCATGTCTCCAATGTCCCCTCAACGTCCCTGCGGTGTCCCTGATGTCCCTGAGGTGTCCCCGATGTCCCGACGTGTCCCCAAGACTCCAAAGTGTCCCCACCTCACCCTCTGAACCCACCTCAGATGTGGTTCCCCTGCTCCCACCTCTCCATGGCCGACCCCACTCAAGGAACACCCAACGTCCCTCAATGTCCCCAGTGCCACCAATGTCCTCGATGTCCCCAAGGTGTCCCCAAGACCCCAAAGTGTCCCCAAGACCCCAAATGTCCCCACCTCACCCTCTGAACCCACCTCAGACGTGTTCCCACCTTTCCATGGCCAACCCAGCTCAAGGAACACCCAACATTCCTCACGTCCCCAAGACCCCTCAACGTCCCCGGTGTCCCCGAGGTGTCCCCAATGTCCCCAAGACCCCAAACATCTCCAAAGTGTCCCCACCTCACCCTCTGAACCCACCTCAGACGTGTTCCCACCTCTCCCAACTCAAGGAACACCCAACAGCCCCAAGACCCCCCAACATCCCCGATGTCCCCGAGGTGTCCCCGATGTCCCCAAGGTGTCCCCCCGATGTCCCCTCAGTGTCCCCGGTGTCCCCTCAGTGTCCCCGGTGTCCCCGGCGCCGCACCTTGATGCCCACGAGGGCGCCCTTGTCGCGGATGACCTGCGGGAAGGGGCGCCCGTCGTCGGCCTTCTGGTACATGGTCTCGTGGAAGAGGATGACGCCGCCGATGCACGGCTCCACGCGCTTGTCGGCCGTGAACAGCAGCTGCCGGTACCAGCGCCGGTTCTCCTCCGTGTTCTCGGCGCCCACCGAGCTCAGCCGCTTGGCGATGCTGCCTGCGGGGGCACCGACCAGTATGGACCAGTTAGAACCAGTATGGACCAGTTAGAACCAGCAGAAACCAGTACGGACCAATTACAACTAGTATAAACCACTTAGAACCAGTATAAACCACTATGGATCTGTATGAACCAGTCTGGCTCAGCCGCTTGGCGATGCTGCCTGTGGGGGCACGGGCCAGTCAGAACCAGTATGAACCAGTATGGACCAGTATGGACCAGTTAGAACCAATTACAACCAGTATAAACCACTATAGATCTGTATAAACCACTATGAACCAGTCTGGCTCAGCCGCTTGGCGATGCTGCCTGCGGGGGCACGGACCAGTCAGAACCAGTACAAACCAGTTAGAACCAGTATAAACCAGTTAGAACCAGTACAAACCAGTTAGAAACACTATGGACCCCTATGAACCAGTATAAACCAGTACGGACCAGTATGGACCAGTATAAACCAGTACGGACCAGTATGGACCAGTATAAACCAGTACGGACCAGTATGGACCAGTTAGAACCAGTCCGGCTCAGCCGCTTGGCGATGCTGCCTGCGGGGGCACGGGCCGGTCAGAACCAGTTAGAACCAGTATGGACCAGTATGGACCAGTTAGAACCAGTATAAACCAGTTAGAACCAGTATAAACCACTATGGACCAGTTAGAACCAGTCCGGCTCAGCCGCTTGGCGATGCTGCCTGCGGGGGCACGGGCCGGTCAGAACCAGTTCAAACCAGTATAAACCAGTTAGAACCAGTATAAACCACTATGGACCAGTTAGAACCAGTCCGGCTCAGCCGCTTGGCGATGCTGCCTGCGGGGGCACGGGCCGGTCAGAACCAGTTCAAACCAGTATAAACCAGTTAGAACCAGTATAAACCACTATGGACCAGTTAGAACCAGTCCGGCTCAGCCGCTTGGCGATGCTGCCTGCGGGGGCACGGGCCGGTCAGAACCAGTTAGAACCAGTATGGACCAGTATGGACCAGTTAGAACCAGTTAGAACCCCTATGGACCCCTATGAACCAGTATAAACCACTATGGACCAGTTAGAACCAGTCCGGCTCAGCCGCTTGGCGATGCTGCCTGAGGGGGCATGGGCCAGTTAGAACCAGTACAAACCAGTTAGAACCAGTATGGACCAGTATGGACCAGTTAGAACCAGTATAAACCAGTTAGAACCAGTATAAACCACTATGGACCCTATGAACCAGTATAAACCAGTATGGACCAGTATGAACCAGTCTGGCTCAGCCGCTTGGCGATGCTGCCTGCGGGGGCACGGGACGGTCAGAACCAGTATGGACCAGTATAAACCAGTACGGACCAGTATGGACCAGTTAGAACCAGTATGAACCACTATGGAACCATATGAACCAGTACAGACCAGTACAAACCAGTATGGACCAGTACAGAGCTGACAGAACCAGTACAGACCAGTACAGACCAGTACAAACCAGTACAGACCAGTACAAAGCTATTAGAACTAAACCAGTTGGTTTCCAATAGAAACCAATATAAACCAGTATAAACCAGTATGGAGCGGTTGCTGTGGGTGCACTTGGGGTCTTCCCGGTAGCTCCCAGTCACCATCCCAGTATAAACCAGTACAAACCAGTATACACCAATACAAACCAGGAACCCCAGCCAGGCCCCTGGCACTGCCCCAGTGCTTCCCAGTATAAACCAGTACAAACCAGTAACCCCCAGTGCTCCCAGTGCTCCTTTATCTCTCCCCAGTCCACCCCAGTTTACCCCAGTTCACTCCCAGTCCGTCCCAGTCCCTCCCAGTCCATCCCAGTCCCTCCCAGTCCATCCCAGTCACTCCCAGTCCATCCCAGTCACTCCCAGTCCATCCCAGTCATCCCAGTACAACCCAGTACAAACCAGTATAACCAGTATAACCAGTGCGTACCAGTGGACTCGTCGGCGGCCAGGATGCCCTTGCCGGGCGCCACGATGCGCTGGGCGATGGACGCCAGCTCCTGCTTCTGCTCGGGGGTCAGCGCGGGCACGGGGGGCGACATCCTGCCGGTGGCACTGCGGGGACACCCGTGACGTCAGCAGTGACGTCAGCAGTGACGTCACACGGTGGCAGTGACGTCACACGGTGGCAGTGACGTCATATGGCGGCGGTGACGTCACAGGGCGGCAGTGATGTCACATGGGTGGCAGTGATGTCACAGCTGGGCTCGGGGAGGGGCAGGACACCCCGGGGGGGGGACCCAGAATGGGAGTGGGGGGCACTGGGAGGGACTGGGGGGAACTGGGAGGGACTGGGAGGGACTGGGGGCACTGGGAATGGGAGCAGATTGAGAGTGACTGGGAGAGACTGGAAAAGGTCAGAGAGCACTGGGAGTGAACTGGGGGCACTGGGAGGGGACAGGAACATGACTGGGAGCACTGGGGGTGAACTGGGAGTGACTGGGAGTGACTGGGAGAGACTGGGAGCACTGGGAGTGACTGGGGGCAGATTGAGAGTGACTGGGGGCTGGGAGTGACTGGGAGCAGATTGAGAGTGACTGGGAGAGACTGGAAAAGGTCAGAGAGCACTGGGAGTGGACTGGGAGTGAACTGGGAGGGGACAGGAACGTGACTGGGAGCACTGGGGGTGAACTGGGAGTGACTGGGAGAGACTGGAAAAGGTCAGAGAGCACTGGGAGTGGACTGGGGGCACTGGGGACACTGGGAGGTGACTGGGAGGGGACCGAGGGCACTGGGAGGAGACTCGGGACACTGGGAGGGAACTGGGAGGGGACTGGGAGTGGTCTGGAGGCACTGGGAGTGGACTGGGAGGGGACTGGGAGTGGTCTGGAGGCACTGGGAGTGGACTGGGAGGGGACTGGGAGTGGTCTGGAGGCACTGGGAGGGGACTGGGGACACTGGGAGTGGACTGGCAAGGGACTGGGGAGAACGGGAGTGAACTGGGAGGGACTGGGAAGTGGACTGGGGGCACTGGGAGTGAACTGGGAGTGGACTGGGGGCACTGGGAGTGAAGTGGGAGCACTGGGAGTGAACTGGGGGCACTGGGAGTGAACTGGGGGCACTGGGAGTGAACTGGGAGTGGACTGGGGGCACTGGGAGGGGACT